TCACTCTGAGGACAAGGTTTCTGACTCTGAGGACAAGGTACGTACCTCACACGGAGGACAAGGTTGCTCAGTCTGAGGACAAGGTTTGTCACTCTGAGAACAAGGTAACTCATTTTGAGGACAAGGTTCTTCATTCTGAAAAGAAGGTTCTTTACACTGAGGACAAGTTTCTTCACTCTGAGGACAAGGTTCTTCGCTCTGAGGACAAAGTTCTTCACTCTGAAGACATGGTTTTTCACTCTGAGGACAAGGTTCTTCACTCTGAGGACAAGGTTCCTCACCCTGTGGGGAAGATTTTTCACTCTGAGGACAGGGTTTCTCACTCTGAGGACAAGGTTCCTCCCACTGAGGACAAGGTTCTTCACCCTGAGGACAAGGTTCCTCACTCTGAGGACAAAATTCCTCACTCTCAAGACATGGTTTCTCACTTTGAGGACAAGGTTCTTCATTCTGAGGGCAAGGTTCTTCACCCTGGGGACAAGATTCTTCTCTCTGAGGACAAGGTTCTTTAATCTGAGGACGAGGTTCTTCTCTCTGAGGACGAGGTTTTTCTCTTTGAGAACAAGGTTCCTCGCACTCAGGACAAGGTTGCTCACTTTGAGGAGAATGTTCCTCTTTCTGTGGACTAGGTTTCTCACTCTGAGGTGAACGTTCTTCACTGTGAGAACAATATTCCTCACACTGAGGACAAGGTTCTTCACTCTGAGGACAAGGTTCCTCACACGGAGGACAAGGTTCTTCACCCTGAGGACATGGTTCCTCCCACTGAGGGCAAGGTTCTTCACCCTGAGGACAAGGTTCTTCACTCTGAGGACAAGATTCCTCACTCTGATGACATGGTTTCTCACTTTGAGGACAAGGTTCTTTATTCTGAGGACAAGGTTCTTCACCCGGGGGGCAAGGTTCTTCTCTCTGAGGACAAGGTTCTTCAATCTGAGGACGAGGTTCTTCTCTCTGAGGACGAGGTTCTTCTCTTTGAGGAGAAGGTTCCTCACACGGAGGACAAGGTTCCTCACTCTGAGGACAAGGTTTCTGACTCTGAGGACAAGGTACGTACCTCACACGGAGGACAAGGTTGCTCAGTCTGAGGACAAGGTTTGTCACTCTGAGAACAAGGTAACTCATTTTGAGGACAAGGTTCGTCATTCTGAAAAGAAGGTTCTTTACACTGAGGACAAGTTTCTTCACTCTGAGGACAAGGTTCTTCGCTCTGAGGACAAATTTCTTCACTCTGAGGACATGGTTTTTCACTCTGAGGACAAGGTTCTTCACTCTGAGGACAAGGTTCCTCAACCTATGGGGAAGATTTTTCACTCTGAGGACAAGGTTTCTCACTCTGAGGACAAGGTTCCTCCCACTGAGGACAAGGTTCTTTACCCTGAGGACAAGGTTCCTCACTCTGAGGACAAAATTCCTCACTCTGAGGACATGGTTTCTCACTTTGAGGACAAGGTTCTTCATTCTGAGGGCAAGGTTCTTCACCCTGGGGACAAGGTTCTTCTCTCTGAGGACAAGGTTCTTTAA